AAACTCTTTGAGAGATGAAGTGTCTTTTAATTGTGACTGGCTTTATTTCTGTCATTACTTGATGTAGCTCTTTTTACAGTAGAATCTATGACTGATCTGTTGTGTTCATACACTGTGTTGAACATGCATAAATGCAAAAACAAACACATATGTGGACCATTCAGCCAAAACAGGAAATGAAGGCGAGGAGTTGGACTGTGCCTAATTCAAGCAGTGCCCTTTTTTACTTTTGCCTGAACGTTGATTAAAAAAAGTGAAACTCAGATGATTTAAATGCACGAAAATCTGATTTTGACATGACTTCAAAAGAGAAGCAGAAGGAAGAGGTGGCCCCTCTTCCAAGAGAGAGAGGAGCAAACAGATGGGTTTTACATAAACAGCACACACATCAAGAACACTGAGCTAAAGAGCTTGGCAGTCTCAACTGATGAAACAGACCAGGGAGGAATCGAGATGCTTTAATGAGCTTCTCTGTCCTGTGATGCACATACTGAATGTTCAAAGACAAACTGTTAGCTCTTAAAGAGGCAGTTACAGTTATGGTTAGGGTGGCCTTGACTGCCCAAGAACCAACTGGTGATGCAAACATATTTGTTGACAGTATATACCAATTAATACCATTTTGGGTTTAAATTAGGATGAAGTAGTTAGTTATTTGGACAAATTCAACTTTTTTCTGTTTGCTGCTTTTAAAGGATTGTACTGATTTCTATAGTATTTATTTGTTGAGATAGGGACCTTTACGTGAGTCAATAATCATCCAACAAATGGCGCCAGATGCAGAGAGATGCTAAGAAACAGTACATGAGAGCAAAACAAAACCACACTGGTTAGAGTAACACTGTCTGTAAGATACCCACTGTTCTTTGGGGGTCTAATAAAATAATTAATAACAAGCTCAATGCATCATAATCGCTCCTAATGGCCGGGTGGCTGGATCAGTTGGTGGAGGAAGGAGATGGCAGTAGCCTGTCAGGCACCAGAGAGACATGAGGATGTGTCCCAAATGGCACCCTATTCCCTATAGTACACTGGGTCCATATGGCTCTGATCAAAATTAGTACACTATAGGGAATAGGGTGCCATTTCAGACAGAGCCATGATGTGAGGAGGACGTCCACAGAGCCATGATGTGAGGAGGACTTCCACAAAGCCATGATGTGAGGAGGACGTCCACAGAGCCATAATGTGAGGAGGACGTCCACAGAGCCATGATGTGAGGAGGACGTACACAGAGCCATGATGTGAGGAGGACGTCCACAGAGCCATGATGTGAGGAGGACTTCCACAAAGCCATGATGTGAGGAGGACATCCACAGAGCCATGATGTGAGGAGGACGTCCACAGAGCCATGATGTGAGGAGGACGTCCACAGAGCCATGACTGTCGTCTCAGTCATCTCTCTCAGTGTTCAAAGTCTGATCATTGGCCCTAGGCTTTTGGGGGCCTAAGCAAAATGTTGTTCATAATACGACAAACATAAGCTCATTCAGTTCAGGACAACCCAGGGTATAAAGCATGTCATCCTTGTAACTGTGGCTCAAACATAGCGATCATAAACGTTGATACTGTAAATGACATGAGTTTTCAAATATGGAAATATGAAGTGCACATTTGGACTCATGGGTGTGTGGTTTGCTTGTATGACATCAAAGTGGTATTTATTATAATCCTCAATGTCTCATCTTTCATTACACATCGACTGCTCTTGATTTACAACATTTCCCTCACTCAGACAACAACAAATGTGCAAAAGTACCCCAATTAGCGGAAGGGATGGGGGCATCTTCTTGTCGCGCGCGCTACTCCAGTTTATAACGGCTGTCAGTCAAAACCCATACAGCGCTGCGAACTGGAGAACCTGAGCTCTGACATCATGTATAGCATGTTACTGTACGGCCACTGGGTACCAATTTAGGCACTTATCAATGACAAAATCTGCCATTTTCAACCCATATACGGGATGACAGGTTGAGAGACATTTTTTCAGTTTTAAATCGAATTTCCTGCAATTCTACACATTTTGCCATGACTTATGAGTGAAAGTGACCAAATCTATGGGGGCCCCATGGAGGTCAGGGCCCCTGGGCACATGCCCTGTAATTCGACCATGATTACTAGAAGTTTAGATAGCTGGCTAGACTAACTTACCAATCTAAAAAAATGTAGCTGACATGGGCTAATTGAGAGACTGTTAGTGACTGACATAACAAGAGAGAAACTGCTGATGGACAACCAAATTTCAAAATGACACCTTGTGTACTCTACTATCCTAATGCTCAACAGTAAGCCCTAAGCGACCGCTTATGTCGCTTATTCCCAGGGCTGGCCCTGCCCAGGCTGCACATCCAGGGAGAAGTTATGGTAATGTAATTGGATTCCATGGGTCCTCACTTTACACTTTATTGCCACATAATGAAATGACCTGTTTATTGTCATTGTTAAATCTGGCCAGGGACAACATCTGCTACAACAAACTTTGTTTGTGTGTTTGTGTGATTCTCATTACTTTAGAAATCAGGGTTTGAAATATAAGATCTAAGAACACGTCACTGTGGAATGAGTTGAGATATAATAAATGATAGATAAATAAATGTTGAATTTAGAAACACTTGTAGTGAAGCTAGTTTAAAAAAAAACTGAAAACAGCACGTAAATGCACATAAATATGTAAACAAGTACATAATTTCCTTTCTGAAATGTTACTAATGAGGGGCTACAGTTTACTGCTGTCACAGCATACACCTTTATATATGATGCATCGTCCCAGTTGTCCCTTGAGTGGAGAAAGATTCCTGTGAATTAATGTTCTACAAAGCATCTGTCCACCTCCAGTTCCCTACCCAGCCCACTGTTCCGTCTGTCTCATTATACTGTTTCATTGCTGCTGTAGGACACTGAAGGACATCACCACCGCCACCAATTCAAGTGTTGTATATTCCCTGGAAACCAATCAAGAAAAGCCCAGAAAAAGAATCCCCATGATTCATTTTTATTTTGTTCCATATTTTTCTCTCTGGCTTTTGAGTCACTGGTGAAAGAGGAGCTCCGGCATAAAATCAATGTCCCATTAAAATGTTATGATCAAGAATGGCTTAATAGCTCTGGAACTGATGCTTTTGCTTTTAATATTACCCTATGTTTCGGTAACTCTTACACATAAATATACAACCAGGGCTTCTATATCAGTCCTGTTTTCTCTGTCAGTTGATCTGGGCACTAGAATAGAATAATGGTCATATTTCTCACAATAAAAATAAAATAGATTTTGATAGATATTGTATGTTTGTAGTATTGCAGGCCAATTGGTCTCTAGATTATTTGTATAGAAATGATGTTTAACACCAGTGATTTGATGTGGATATGGTGGATCAGTCTGAAATAATTGATTGAAAACAAAGAATCTGTCATATCTGTTATTGATATTATAGCGTAATTCAAATTAGTCAGTATTAGAGAAGATACGACAATATACAGCTTGTTGAAACAATGTATGAATTGAATAGGTTGTCTGATTGCTCACAGAGGCCTTATCAAGGAAATAAAAAACGGACCTGTAGATAACTTGTTTTTATTATCTTATTATCCATTATTGTTATCATAAATTTTTAATTGTAGCAGAATAAAATCAACCAAAACACCCCTCAGCAATCATGGCTTAAATTTCTTCACAATTCATTGGAAATAGTAAAGACAGAAAAAAAGATAGAGTTAGAAATAAAGTGGTAAAACTGAATCATTGTTCTGAGGATCATATGGAAGGTTTCAAGCAACCCACCATATGTTGAAGGCTTTTGTTATGGAAATCATAGTTTTTGGCACTTTTCATCATTGCGCAGCCAAGCCGGGCACATAAATAACATAAATAAGGATAAGAACATGGACAAATCTCCCAGTCAGAGTACACAGAGTAGTGGAGTGTTGTTGGTAACCTATGACAGATAGCTTTTCATTAGGACTCTCCCTGATTCACATTCCTACCCACACTGCAGTTGGTACCTGTATTTGTATTCTTTACAGAAGACAACCTAAGCTAAGAGAGCAAACAAGTAAATGTCCACATGCATTGTCATATTATTGCTGTGATATACAGTATACACAAATATATTTACAAAATTGTCAAAGAGGAACAATGTTTTCCCTTCTCAAACTCAGAACAACCGTTTCAGAACTAATTTTCACTTACTTTTCTGCATTTAGTGTTTCTATAAATGTTTGGGACAATATGGCTGCGCAGGCTAATTGGTCTTTTGACCAATCACATCAGATCTTTTCACATTGGATCTTTTTCAGAGCTAGTGAAAAAAAGATCAGAATTGGACTGCCTGTCTAAACTTAGCCTATAAGTTTGATTTTACAATCAAATCAGGATCTGTATTGGAAATACAGTGTGGTTTGGTTGTCATATTGCTCAGAACAAACATGGATCTCACCATCAAGTAGGAGGATAAGATACAAAATAATTTTGGGAAAAGTAACCATTTCCTTCTGAACTCAAAATACTCTACAAATTAAGTACCTGTAAACTACACAAATATTCCACAAGTTGTTTTGGAGAAAGGTGGTTTTTCACAACAAGTCCAGTATGATCGCCAAGCCTATCATGAACCAAGACTACATCTTTAGGATGAAAGAGGTTAATATAGAGTCTGGGGTCATTGTATGGGGGAGTGGTAGTGGTAAAAAGAAGAGGATGGAACGATAGAAGGCAGACAGTTTACTCCATACAGGATTTTAAAGGAGAGATCACCATTATTGGGATTGTGTCATCCATTTAGAATATGCAAATAGCTGACAGTGCATTTGTCTGCTGGTGCTCGACCTTCCCCTTGGAGGTCGCTCACCAACTCAATTACTCTCCCTATCTGCAGTCTGTCTGCAAACACCTGTTATCCTCCCACAAGCCACGGCCTCTACCAATCCCAGTCTAACACATCTCACACACCACTAAACCACACGTCTCATCAAAACCAGTTAGAGAGGGAGAGGGGTTATGATGGAGGTGAGAGGGTAAGGATGGTCTATTATTATTTTACGACAATAACATCAGTCTTTGTGTCATGAAGAGATTTACATGAAAAAGGAATTTGAATAAAACCTTCTCTTGTCAATTGATGGAAGAATATCCATTTATTGACACATTAATTATAATGACATATTTTTAATACATATCATTATCTTGCCGATAGACACCTCATCATTTCAAACCTCTAATCCTAAAAAAACACATGGTTTCAATGTAGAGTGATCTGCCAAACAGCTTAATATTGGAAGCAACCGTGATTGTAAAAAAAATCCCTATCATCACAGATGTCCTAAATGGAAAGCACTCTGCATCACCCTGCCTTACACCGGTTGTTTTCAGCCTTCCAACCAAGTGGCAATTTTCTGTTATGGGAAGTGTTGTTTTACATTTTCCTATATACTGTGGGAGATTTTGGAAAACATTCACATTTTCATTTAACTTCTAAGGTCTTTTCAGTGCATATTCCCCTTTCACTGTTAAACCAGACTATATAAACCTATCCAAAGCTCTCTCAGTCTACGTTATAAGGAGTGAAAACACTATCTTACAGATAAATCTGCCAATCTCTCGATTCACGACTTTTCCCTTTTGCATGGCTTTAGTCGCTTGCAGCAAAGCTCTGGCAGGGTAATCAGGAGAGCAATTGCTGTCGACACTGTTTTATAATTACTGCATTGCTATTATTATCGCCTTGTTAATCCACTTGGGGAAAAAGCCTTCCCATTGCCATTATCTCCTCTGGCATGATGATTAGGGCTCCTCAGTCCTCCTTCCAACTAACTCATCCTGTCAGGATTCTGGAATACAGCTCTGTGAGTTGTGGAAGAGGAGACAGCTGGTAGAATAGAATGTGTGTCTGTTTAAAAAATAACTGATTCCCCCTATCTTATTCAGAGGGTTGAATAAGGAAGTGTTTGATGTTCTATGTGGGAAATGATTTCATGGGATATCTAATAAAGCATAATAGTAAGGTTTGCTATCTTTGGACAGTATTGCATGACATTATGATCATGAACCCTTCAAGGGTCAATCTTCAGCCAATATGTAGAGGGAGGCAGTTGAGTGAACTCTACTTTGGGAAACAACAAGATGGAGGATTTCTTAACATTTCTTCTTCATCTGTTTCATTTTATTGCCCTAAATTCGACTGCAAACAGGACAGCTTTGATTATTATTATACATGTCAATTGCTGTACCAGTGAAGTTATTATTGCTGTGAAACAAATATAATCTGCATTCATCATTTGTTTGAAGTTATGGCTGATACTAGACATTGTTCCTCTTTAAAAAACGAAGTCCCATGGACTCTCTACAGTTTCATGCATATAAACATTTTCTTTGAAGATCAGCAGCATCTTACAAGGTCAATGGAAAGTCATATTTCAACACATGAATAGACAAATACTGTAATGGCATAAATTAATAAATTAATAGATGAATACATTTAGAAACATATAAATAACAAATACATAGATAAATTGACAAATAAATAAATACTTACATAAATAGATCAATAAATACACAATTTACAAGGTAGTGGGATGCTATACATCTAATGGTAGAAAGAACTTTCAGCAACATATTTAAAATAAAATACAAACATTCCTTTGTAACTGAGGGTGCATGTGGTGAGATCATACCTTTTCCTTTTTGAGGTAATACCAGTAAAAGGAGAGGGAGAGCACCTCAGAGCGTGTAATGAACATTGCTTATTACGACTGAGGGAAACAGCACAGAGTGGCAAAGTTCATGCAAGCCACCGCGGTGGAGGAAGAACAGGGATGGTTTCCATTGCTATAGACAGGTCACTGCACAATGCACATGGCACCTATAACAACTGATCGGTACATTTGGTTTGGCTCCCATTGTTGTTATTGGTATACTGTAGTTACCAGTATGATGAAGAGATTGTACTTTGAGTGCCACCGGTATCTTGTGATACCACAACCTGTTCAACAGGTCTCCATAAGAACTCAAAACAACTGCTCTGATGGAACTGACAATGACCGCTAGTTCATGATCCTATTGTACTCAGCTGATGTAGTTTGCCTTAAGGTTTGTTCAATGAGTTTTGCTGGAAGTTTTCTGAATACCCACAGTTACAAAGATGCTTTGCTTTTAAAAATCAAGGAAGAATTGGCACCAAAATGTATAACAAATTCAGTCAGACAATAGAAAAATAACACCCATTGAATTAAAAACATATGTGTGACAAAAAGGGTACTTTTTTTAACTTTAAAATGATTTCCCTCTTTTGCAAATACTGTCAAAGTACACATTTTCATAAAAACTGAATGTTGGCAGTTGCAAAATAATTCAATTCTTAGCAAATAAAAAGCAGCATAGAAATAAAAGAGGTCATTTTTGTCAATAAACAACAAAAGAAAACTGTTACAGTCCTTTTTTAATGTTTTTTTTCTTCGTCATTTTCCCTGTACTTTTTGCTATAAAATATCAGGAATCTAAATATTACTATTGATATCAATATCATTATAGTCATTGATAAAAATTCACATGCCAGGCCTCATATATAATGTTGTGTGCGTGTGTGTGAGCGTGTTTGTGAGTGAGCTAAAAACTAGAGTCTTTATTTGGAGGATGGGTCTTTTGATTGTATGTATCTGTGGATGATTAGCTACTGTGCGGGGGAGAGGGGGAATCCAGCATCTTTTGAAATTGTCTTTGCCATAATCATAACAGTTTTCTTCACATAATCTCAGTGAAAATATTGCTTTCTAAAAAAAGGAAGAAAAAGGCATGGAGGGCAGAGTGAAGGGGGTTATTGGTTGCAGAACCTACAATATAGGGTTCCAAATTCTGCTTCCGTCCTTCTAGTTCCGGCAGCTAGTTCTCAGAGCAGGACTCGTCATCATCTTCGTCCCCGGAACCCTTGAAGCAGGCTGATTCATAGTGCTTGTTCAGGTAGGACTTGAGGGCGAAGGTCTTATTGCAGCGCTTGCATCGGTAGTGCTTGAAGGCAGAGTGGGTTTGCATGTGGGCGCGGAGGTTTGAGCGGTCAGCAAAGGCTTTGCCGCAGTGGGCGCAGGCGAACGGTTTCTCCCCGGTGTGCGAGCGCATGTGGCCCTGCAGGAGCCAGGGCCGGCTGAAGGCCTTGCTGCACACGTCACACTTGTGCTTGAGGTTGTGGGTGAGGATGTGCATTGCCAGCGCCGGCATGGACACATACACTTTGTCGCAGGTGGGACACTGGCGCGCCATCTTGCTATCCAAGCTACGGTGTGTCTGTTTGTGCCTGCTGAGGTTGGACGAGGTGGCGTACGTCTTGCCGCACACGTTGCAAGTGTGGCGGGCTGTGCCAGCGGCCCCTGCCTCCCTGTCCTCTGTGGCATCGGCATTGGAAGCGCCAGAACGACCTCCCTTACGGCCGTCACCGTCTCCCTTCCGCCGCGAGCGCCCGTCGGAGATGAAAAAGGCATCCATTGTGTAGCCCTCGGTCAGGGCCTCCGCCTCGCCACTGTAGAAGCCGCTGTCCGTCATGCCGGACTGGGGGCTGTCGGGGTGCTCCAGGTCAGGGTCACAGTACTCCTCACCCCTGCTGCTCACCTGGGTGTACAGAGGGTCAGAGACGGGCGACGCCATCTTGAGCTCCATCTTCTTCTCCCCCTGACATATAGATGGCGTGATGTAATCCTGGATGTAGCCTGGAGAAAACACACAATAATAGTTACAGTAAGGCAAAACACACACACACACAGAGACAGTGACAGTGACAGTTAGTCTACAGTAGGCCGGGCGTTGTGGTGGTGGATAAGTGCATTGTGATTATATGATTATCATGGATGATTGCCTCTTGTAAATTATTAAACAGTAGCATACACACATACAAAACAAATTGCAATCTCCCCAAATCACACAGTATTTACCACAGGCCTGTGATGCTGCTGCAGAGCACTACTCACAGCATTCACCTTTATTACACAGTTACAGCAAAGATGAGTGGTGGCTGCTAAACACAGATAATTGCTAATTATAGACACCTATGAAAGAAGGCCCCTCTTATTACTTGAAGTGGTCTCATTGATTAGTCACCCTTTCTTTCACCCAGTGACTTCCTCACTCTAAGGTACTGTATGTCAATCCTCTGTGACTGAAGGTCTATATCTTTGTTTTGTTTGCCCAATTAAGCCTGAACACTCTGAACCATCAGACAGCACACACTGTCTATGGTCTGGGGTGACTGTCCAGGGGATACAGTATTTTGGGATGATAAATCATCAGGAGAGGCCATTAAAACTGAAAAACACATTTTGAAAAAATACTAGAAAGCACTTCAATTGTTTTTGAGTGCTTTATTATTTTGCAGTAGCTTGGCTCTTTCTTTCTAGTAGCTTGGCTACCACCATATAAATTCCTTTCTCTCAACAGAATAGCACTTCCAGGATATTTCCAATTTGTCTCACTGGATTATTGACTTATGTTACATTACAGACAGGCCATTTTATTGTCTAGACAATATTTAATGTATCCCTATATTGTGAGGCAGCCAAGTGGAGCTAAAAGGTTTCCTGGCATGCAGCTAAGTGGAGCTAAACAACACTGAATATTTACTAACGTTAGTCCAGTACATCTACACACTTGTATGCATTTATCTAAACATGTTCCACTTCAATAGCTTACTAACATATAGGACAAACATATGATTCCATTTCCAATATGTGGTGTGAATCCTGCCCTGGGAGAAATATTGCATAACTGAAGAAGAAAAGGCAGATTCCTAAGCATTGTGTGTCGCAAGCGGTGGAAATGAACTATTTACTGTTTTTTAATGAACTTCAAAGTTTCTTGCTGATCAATAGGCCATCATCTGTAAAATAGTACAGCTGTTGGAACACACTGCGTGTGGGGATATAAGATTGAAATAATGCAGGCCAGGGCACAGAATAAAGTGATTGGAGAGGACTACACAACGATAGCCTACTGAACATGGTTGAGTGATGGAAAGGTTAAGCTGAAACGTGATACACAGGATTACCAGCAGAACAAAGTGGCTGTAGTGTTAAAGCTCGCTGAAGTGCATTCAGGAATCAGCTCATTAGAAAATCAATTTTTAAGTGCTCTCTTAGAATGCTGTCTCCATTCCCAAGGGTTCCCACTCAGAGACCATTCCTTGTCAAAGTCATTACCATGATGCTATAGGACTGGGAGACTGGGATCTTATAGGAAGGCAAGGGTGCTATTTGGTCAAAAGCACCAACCTTTTGTTGACTAGCCTATATAGATAACAACTCATGATATTTCTTCCTCTCCTGATATAACTTCTAAAGGTAATAGTCATTCTTACTTCATAGGCTATTTCAAGTTTAATAATACCTTGTTTCTTTTTCTTCTAACATCTAAAATGAAACACTATCTCACTGAATATGCAGTACCGTAAAGAGAGCAGAGGAAAATAGCCAAACATACTGTATACAGCAACAGATTGTTATTGAAACACATAGACATCTTGTTTTTTATTCCCCTGATTAATTGCACATGTGTAACAGGTTTAAATTACTTAAGGTCAGACAGAGAGTTCATTTTTGTGGCTGAACTAATGCTGTATTAACCTTTGCAGTACAGCGACTCATTCCTCTAATGCAAATCAAGCATGTTATTAATGGACTCACTCTCCCACCCTCCTTCTTTGTTGTTCGACAGACACTTCAAGTCAAATGTCTCCACAATGGGGAAAGCGCTGACGCCAGGCGTTTCAACAATGTTGTGATTTCTCTGGGATTTCATTGAGCAGACAAGAAGGGTTATTTTGTCTGCATACAATGGTAGTGTTGGTACTAATGCAATAATCCATAATATATAATTTTTTCCCCCATCAAAATGCTTATTTCTTTCTCAAAGGAAGAGGAATAGTGTTTATCAATGACAGAACAACAGAGACTGAGACTAACATCTTTATTAAGGATTTACATTTCAACCACATAATTTATGCAAAGAAGTCATGTTTTTTGCAATGAATCTGATTCCATAACTTTATCGTAACTGCATTTGTGTTTATAAAATGTAAATAAAACAGAAGTTAATTTATCCTCATACTCTATTGTAAAAATATATATATTTAGTTAAACTGACCATTCACTAGCCATAATTTGTTAATAACAACAACACTGTTCAAACATGTGTTTTTGTTCTTGGTTGCTGCTGCTGCTAATCTAAAATCACTGGATAATAGCATTATGTGATGTGACTGAATAACAAGTGATCATTTTACGTTCACAGGTTGATCTGAACTGTAAAGCTATCTGCTTATTGCCAAGACAAAATAACAAAGAGAGACAGACAGACATCTGGCATCCTAAATATGGCCACAAAATGGGAGCGAGCTTAAACCTGACTGACTGAAAGTGAAGGACGTCTCTCTCTAGCTTTGACTGGACAGGGGCTTAGCATGCGGCCCAGTCCTACTGTTGCCCACTGTGCAGCTATGGACCCTTTCTTCTATGTTAACTGTATACCCCTAGTCACGTGGCCCCACGTCAATGCTGCCCGAAGCATTTTTCCTCCTTTTTCCTCCTTCTCTCTCTCTCTCCTCCTCGCTCCCCCTCTACCCCAGCTAACCCACCTCCCCCGGCAGTACTGTACAGTGCGTTGATGTCTCTTGTGGCGGCGATAGGCCTGCATGGATGAAACTCCACCCCTGCTAGTTTTCAAACGCCCGGAAGGAGGAGACTCAAGGACAATAACAGCTAAGGACAAATGTATCATCCAGCACTTATCTTTCATTTTCATACATTTCTCAGATCGCACAAAGACTGGAAAGTGACAGCCTGCATGATTCAAGCACACCTTAATTTGTGCACGTAATACAAATTCATAGGAACACATGTCTAAATGCAAGAAGCACGTTTTGCTCCACCATTTGCATAAGCCGATCCTCTGCTGTGACCTGAATTGTGTCTGCCTATCATCAGAGTCAAAAAACAAAAGTCTGGGAGCAGGATGGGGGTGGGCAGGGGGTGCTGGAGAGGATTATTTGGGATACGGATGCAAAATCAGCCGGATTTATGTAACGTCTGTTATTAATTTATGCAGACAACAGGCATGTCAATGGATGAAGAACCACTTACAAATACACAATCAAAAGATAATTCCAACTGTGTTTACTGTATTGATGTCATGGGGCATTCTTATTCTGGAATCAACAACTGAACCTGGTTCTCCAAAGGGAGCAGTGGTGCTACAGTAGCACACCCTAGACAACGGCAGGCAGGACGCGAATGTGCTGTGTGCTGTGCTGTGCAGAGGCATGCAAACTCACCATTCTCACTGAGACGAACACCCAAACTGGTCACAGAGTCAGTGAGGGAGCGTGTGAAAGGAGTGAACGAGTCGTCCAGGTGGTGATGGTGATTAGAGAAATCATCAAGCTTGATTTTCTTCACCAAAAACGAACGGGGCATGTTTCAAAGAATAAAAAACACACAGAGCTGAGAATCACGCATTAAGAGAAAAGAAAATACCCCCAAAGAAATCAGCAAACAGGCAGAGCTGGAGCTAGCTGACAGTAGTAGTAATCCTTGTGTTAAACGAAAAGGCAACCTCTAAAAAACAGAAGAGATGGAAAGAAAATGGAAACCAGTGGAGAACAACGTTGGTAAACAATGCTGTGTGTTACTCTATGGCTCCCCCAGCTTTCCAAAAAATACAATAAAATTATTTGGTTCAGCACTGGATAGCTCCTGTGATGCACCAGGCTTAAAGGACCAGAGAGAAAGAGAAGAGAGAGACAGGGAGAGACAGAGAGAGAGCGTGGAGGAGGGAGGAGAGAGCGAGCGAGAGAGAGAGACCATCAGACTAGCTGAGATCAGCTCTCTCTCCAGCCTTTATATGGGGCACAGGCAGTGGAAGATCAGGTGGTGCTGCGAAATGGAGCTGCTTAGCTTTAATCCATCAAATGTCCCCGGGGACACACATCAAATTACTACTGAACCGTCTGTGCATTCGTTCGCACACAGACAGAGGAGAAAGAACACACCCAGACCCCCCCACACACATACACACTGCCCCCACTACTACCACTGCCCCTCTCTCGTCCGTCCCTCCCCCCTCTTCTGCTCCATGCTCAATGGAGGAGTACAAGAGGTGGATTGAGACAATGGAGACATGGAGGAGAGCACATTCAGTGTCCTGTCCCCCATTGTTTTCAGATGAAGTGGCACAGTTTATGTTTTCCTTGTTGCAGGAACTACTTTGCTCCTCCTCATCCTGTCCTCTCTGTTACCTCAGACTACCCCTCACCATTCAAAACTATCCCTAGCTGGGACAAAAGTAGACATATCTTACAGTACTGAAAACACACTGCACACACACATACAGATGTAGGATCTTAATTTGAGCTAGTTTGCTACAGCATGAAAATAATTCTGAAGCAACAGGAAATGTGAATTATTATGTGGATTACAATTAATGAACATTTTTGTAGGGGTTGATTCAAGTCTGAAATTTTTTAAACCTCAAAAACACTACAAGGTCTCCTGCAACAGGGTGATTCATATTAAGATCCTACATCTGTACTGTACAATTCCACAATTCAAATTTTCCTCAATGATTCCCTATGAGAAAATGTTTGAATTGAAAATGGAATTTTAGTTTACTTCCTGAATTGGCTGAAATTTAATGGAATTTACCCCAACCCTGACACATACACACTGTAGTTTCATTATAGTGATTTCAGCACTGTTTATCTGCTTATCCATGGATGCAATAGCGTTTTGGCAAAATCTCTAGCATCTCCCTGACGGTGCGGCACATGCATGAAAATTAATTACCTGTTTAATTAATTACATATTTTTGATTAGAATGAAATGTAAAATTAGACTCACATTTAGATTGATTTGGGTTGATAACATTAAAACATAGCAGGCAGCAAATGCTCCGATGTCTACATATTCTGTAATATTTGTTACTTAGAAATATTGAACAGATTTAAATGTCAGAATGCTGCCAGAAGGTGTCAATGTATCTGACAAATACACATCGGAGACTGTAGGAATCTTACATAACGAGACTTGATTGATCACTTGTAGGACACTGAGACGTTTTTTACTGTATGTCAGTTAGGCATATGAACTCTCGACATTCTCAATAATCAATCAGGAAAACCATGCACAACAATGCTGTGTTGCTGCTGGATCATACAGCAAAAAAATGTGTCATGCTGCGGTGATACAGTAGCAATGCTACGGATGAATTTAATGCTGAATTGACAGTCATAAATTGGAAGTAACAATTTTATAAGGGTGCTGCGGCGTGCTTCAACAATTTGGACATGCTCTAAGAAACTTGTTACAGCCAAGTTCTGTTATGTAGTCTAGGGAGGATCAGAAATGGAGAAAGATGGAGAAAACACAGTGCATCATGCTATTAATGATTTCCTAAAGTTTTTTAAAAATTTTGTTTTGTTTACCCGTCCTCTAGCTTGACTCTGCTGTCTGAACTGAGCTCAACCTTGGGCAGAGGACCTTCTTATTCTTCTGCTTTCTGTACAGTGCAGTGGAGCACAGCCAGGGCACACCTCTCCGCTTCAGACATGGCACGCAGACATTAATATTTCAAACATATAAAGATGACACTCAGAAGAAACATTGAGGCACAGATAGCAACTCAACTTAATGGAGGAAGGAAACCATCATTGAGAAAGAAGCATTCTCAGCACCTACTGTGTCAGCACTCCCAGTGCTATTGCCCTACATTTAAGTGGTTTTACCGTGTTATATTTGTTTTATTCATATGGTTGTGTGGTAACTTTTTTGTCTGAGCATTTGAGTAATTGACTAAATATTTTCACAAGATACACAGTATTCAACCCATAGTAATTCTATAATTTACTGTGTTCTATTTAATTATATGATTCAACAATTCACTAATCCACAGACTTGATGAATCCACGTACTTGATTAATTATCCTGATTTGAGACCAACAAGTGACAGTTACAGGTGACAAGTTACAGGTTGCCCCTTCCTCACCCCTCTCCTCTGCCCTGAGTTCCAGCCCCCTCAGACTCACTCTGACATCTGGTCACTGCCTTGGGACGGGTGTTGCTATGGTGACATCCCCTCTGGGCTAGTGGGAGTAGGATGGCTCTACCCTCCCCGGTAGTAGGGGAAGGGGCTTGGGCTGTATCCACCGTCTGGTCAGAGGGGGAGGCAGCGACACTATCTCAACCTCATTAACATACTGTACGGCCTCAGAGGGCTGTGGAAAGTTGGCCAGCTGAATGGAGGCACATTTCTTGTGTTTCTTATTCTTCAAGGCAATTCCTCCACTAGGGATGCTGTGCAAACTGCAAAAGGAGGACGTAAGGCCGTTCCGCAGGTTCCAACAACTCTATTTCTATTGCCTCAATTTACAAACATGTAAAGCAATTAAATCACTTCATTTACGTTCAAGCTAATTCATCTTGTTAATTTCTGTAGAAATCAAGGATTTCTGTTGAATGGAGAGAAAATACATCTCTTAATTTCTCTGAAACAGCTATTCATTTGTAAAGGTAGTGGTGCCTAAGGAGTCCAGGACACAGCCCATAGCGTCACTTATGATGTTACCATGAGTGTTTGGAGCAAGGTAGTGAGTCCATTAGGCACAACCATTTATAATTCACCTCTATTTTCCATACTGGGTCAGTGGTGCAACAAGCCAACATCCCCTCATACTGTTTTATTATGGAGGCTCTGTCATGTACTGGATCAGATTGTGTTGTGTTGTTTTATAATAAACATTCTATACTCTACAGTCACTACAGGATCTTATTTTGAGAAAGTTTGCTACAGCAGGAAAATAATCCTGCAGCAATAGGAGATGTGAATTATTATCTGGATAATTATAATTAAAGGACATTTTTTGTAGGGGTTGCAAAATTTTTCGTTAGGGCAAATCAAGTCTGACATTTTAAAGTGGACTTTTCTCAGCAAGTGGAAAATTCTCAGCAACAAAAGAGTGATCAAATTAAGATCCTACATCATGAAAAAGAATGTAATTTTTTTTATATACACTACCAGTCAAAAGTTTGGACACATCTACTCATTCAAGGGTTTTTCTTTATTTTTACTATTTTTTACATTGTAGAATAATAGTGAAGACATCAAAACTATGAAATAATACATATGGAATCATGTAGTAACCAAAAAAGTGTTAAACAAATCAAAATATATCATATATTTCAGATTCTTCAAATAGCCACCCTTTGCCTTGATGAGAGCTTTGCACACTCTTGGCATTCTCTCAACCAGCTTCATGAGGTAGTCACAGGGAATGCATTTCAATTAACAGGTGTGCCTTCTTAAAAGTTAATATGTGGAATTTATTTCCTTCTTAATGCGTTTGAGCCAATCAGTTGTGTTGTGACAAGGTAGGGGGGTATACAGAAGATAGCCCTATTTGGTAAAAGACCAAGTCCATATTATGGCAAGAACAGCTCAAATGACAGTCCATCATTTCTCTTAAGGTCAATCAATATGGAACATTTGAACGTTTCTTCAAGTGCAGTCGCAAAAACCATATTGCGCTATGATGAAACTGGCTCTCATGAGGACCGCCATAGGAATGGAAGGCCCAGATTTATCTCTGCTGCAGAGGATAAGTTCATTAGAGTTACCAGCCTCAGAAATTGCAGCCCAAATAAATGCTTCACAGAGTACAAGTAACAGACACATCTCAACATCAACTGTTCAGAGGGGACTGTGTGAATCAGGCCTTCATGGTCAAATTGCTGCAAAGAAACCACTACTAAAGGACACCAATAATAAGAAGAGACCTGCTTGGGCCAAGAAACACGAGCAATGGACATTAGGACATTTGTCCTTTGGTCTGGAGTCCAAATTGGACATTTTTGGTTCCAACCGCTGTGTCTTTGTGAGACGCAGTGTGGGTGAACGGATGATCTCCGCATGTGTAGTCCCACCGTAAAGCATGGAGGAGGGGGTGTTATGGTGTGAGGGTGCTTTGCTGGTGACACTGTCTGTGATTTATTTAGAATTCAAGGCACACTTAACCAGCATGGCTACCACAGCATTCTGCAGCGATACGCCATCCCATCTGGTTTGGGCTTAGTGGGACTTTTTGTTTTTCAACAGGACAATGACCCAACACACCTCCAGGCTGTGTAAAGGCTATTTTACCAAGAAGGGGAGTGATGGAGTGCTGCATCAGATGACCTGGCCTATACAATCCCCCGACCTCAACCCAATTGAGATGGTTTGGGATGAGTCGGATGGCAGAGTGAAGGAAAAGGAGCCAACAAGTGCTCAGCATATGTGGGAACTCCTTCAAGACTGTTGGAAAAGCATTCCAGGTGAAGCTGGTTGAGAGAATGCCAAGAGTGTGCAAAGCTGTCATCAAGGCAAAGGGTGGCTACTTTGAAGAATCTCAAATATAAAATATATTTTGATTTGTTTAACACTTTTTTGGTTACTACATGATTCCATATGTGTTATTTCATAGTTTTGATGTCTTCACTATTATTATACAATGTAGAAAATAGTAAAAATAAAGAAAAACCCTTGAATGAGTAGGTGTGTCCAAACTTTTGACTGGTACTGTATATAAAAAAGATCCTAGATATGTATATGCGCACAAAAATAAGTGACATAATAAATAATTGATAAGTGACTCACCAGTGTCTGGGACTGGTTAGATCAGGATTACAGTTTATCCAACAATATCACACACAGAGAGAATGATGAATGATGTTGTCTCGGGTGGTGAGAAAATAAATAAATAAACCCAGACTACATCAAACGAAT